AATCGTGAGGCACCGCGATCGAGGCAACAGTGAGTAAGACGGGGCCTGGGCTTAGTGTTTTGTGTGATCTACTGCTGCAGTGCATTCTATATGTCCTGTACATATACAGGACATATAGAATGCACTGCAGCAATAGATTTACAATTCTGCACTGCTAACATGAATGGGTTAAATGATACATGTTACGTACTATTATGTACTATGGATCATGATTTAACCTATTCATGTTAGCAGGAGATAATTGTAACTCTATTACTGCAGTGTACGGGACATGTGTACTGTATATGTATTATGTATTATGATTTAACCTATTCATGTTAGCAGGGCAGAATTGTGAGCGCCTCCCACAAGCTGAGCACCGAGACGCGATGCAGCAATCCGAGACTACAAGAGACATCGCGTGAGGCACAGGGATCGGAGTGAAACTGTGAGTGAGGGAAGCTGGGACAGGGCTGGCTGTAAATTTATTGCTATAGTGTACTAGACGTGTGTAATGTATATGTAGTACATATATACAGCACACACCTCCACTACACTCCAGCAATAGAGTTACAATTCTCCACTGCTAACATGAATAGGTTAAATCATGATCCATAGTACATAACATGTAGTTGTACTATGGATCATTTAAAGTCAACTGTCCCTTTAAGAAAAAGTATCGGTAATTGGTATCGGCAAGTACATGCGGGGATGTACTTGTACTTGGTCCTGAAAAAGTGGAATCGGGACATCCCTAATTAAAAGGATTTATATACAGTTTACAATATAATTTACCTATAATCATGGCTTCCTACTATACCTGATAAGGAACAAAATCCCTCTGTCCCTCTTTTCTCCTCCGCTCTCCTTCATTTGAATCTGATGTATTGAACTCTATCAATATTTACTATGTAAAGCGCAACTGAAGTCAAAACTCTTTTTAGCTTTGGATACAATGGAGAGAGATTAGACACCCGGCCACGTTTTTATTGCTGTCTCCGTCCCCGTTAGGGAGCTCACCCTCTTTATTTGTCTGGGGGACTGTTATCATTGGAAATGAAACAAAAACCCCAAATTTTTTGATACACAACAGGAATAGACGTGAAATCTTACAATAGGGACACAGTTCTGGTGACCCTGCTGACCTCCGGGGATTTTCCTCAGTTTGGAGGGATTTCCTCTCACTTCCTGTTTTGACTATCAGACAGGAAGTGACACAGATGGTAAACTAAAAGCTAACAGGGCCTATAACCCTCCTGTACTCTATCTTAAATAAAAAAAAGTTAAAGTGACATTAAAGTCAATTTTGTTACCCCTCCCCCCAATGTTAAGTAAAACACTTACCTTAAATGATGTCTCTTAATCCGATCTTCCTCTTCTTTCCTGTTGTTTTCAGCCTTCTCTCCAGCGCTGCTGCGGGTCTCCGATCCAGTGCTGACTCCTCTGAGCTTGCTGACACTTCCTGTCCCACGGTATCTGCATGCGGGTGTCCATAGACTTACCTTGCGTCTCTCCTCGTCTCCCGGCCGAAAATCCGAACTGCGCATGCGCCCGCCCCAAGATGCTTTGCGGTCGCTCGAGCAGTTTCGGATTTTCTGACGGGAGCGCGCGGCGAAGACAGCGGTAAGTTTAAAGCGTTTAAAAAAAAAAAACTTTTTGCATATATCTACTGCTTTGCTATGCAAAAAAAAAACAGAGGGTTTAGAAACCCTTTAAAGTGTTATTAAACCCACAGCTTTGTTTGCATATATCTACGGCTAGCAAGGATATATGCAAAAACCTAAAAAAAAAAAGAAAAAGTTTTACAAGAGAGAATTTAGACTTTAATGTCACTTTAAGGCTTCAGTTCTATATTACGTGCCTAAAAAGTATACTACACATATAGCTGGGTGAATGTCGTTCCTATGCTGCTCGGCTCCATCTAGTGGCAGCAGTGCCGTGCGAATAGCACTTGCCCAGCTATTTGTCAGCCCCTAAAAGTTTAATCCAACCTTTGAATTATCGCATTTCTTATTTAAAAAAATAAAAATCCATTAAAAAATCAAAACATTGGGCAAAAACCATTTGTGGGTTTAATGCAGAACTGAAACCAAAACTTTTTGTTTTCAGTTTGGGATAGAGTAGAGTATGTCAGCTTTTTGCCATATGTGTCCCATTGGGGGGAATTCCTTTCCTTTCACTTCCTGCCTGATAGCCACAACAGGAAGGGAAAGGAAATCCCTTCAAAGAAAGGGAAATCCCTGGTAGTAAGCAGAGTCACCAGAACTAGTGTTCCAATTGGACGATTTCCCTTCTATTCCAGTTCTGATGACAACACAAAATTTGGGATTTATTTTTACTTTCACTGCTAACAGTCACCAGCACAAATAAAGAGGGTGACTCTTGCTAACGGGGACATACACAGCAATATAAACCTAACAGGTGTCCTAGTCTCTCTCCACAACTAAAAAAGTTGCACTTTAAATGCTGTCTGTGCCCCAGGTCA